TTATCCTGGACAACTTTTTCTAGGTAGTACAGTTTCAAAAATGCTTCTTCAATCAAGGTGAACTGATCTGGTCATATAATCTAAGCATAGTTGAAAAAGAGCAAAGCAGAATAAAAGTTACTACTTTCCTTTTTAATCACTGTTGCTTCTGTTGATATAGTTTAAATTTCTAACAGATTTTTATTAACTAAATATATCAGAAGCTCAACTCATGTTGAGCTATACTTCCACCTGCATTTAAAGCCAGATATCTAACCATTTTTCTCTACCTATTTCTTTTTATCCTTTCTGCTCTTATCCTTTGTGCTAAGCACATTCTTCTTAATGTTATCTAGGTAGTGGAAGGATGAGTTTAATTAGAATAATTCTCCACATTGTGAGGAAGGGATGAAAACAGGGATGGATCAGAGAGTGGGAATTGTGAAGCATGATCATAGGTAGGGACAGAAAGAAGAAAAATGTCAAGTAAATGTTCTTTCAGAGACAGCAGAATAAGATAGGAAAAGAGAACAGGCAGACGGCAAGAAAAGAATTGTAATGTAGCATAATGGGATATTCTCTGCAATAGGAGATTGTAAGATATCTAAGGCAATTCTCTTTCATAAAGAAGGGATCACAAGCTCATTTTGTACTAGTGCATGTATAATGGCAGAAGACTAGTAGTAGGTCAGAGGACTGTATCAGAGGAGTTTTCCACTTACCAGAGGTCAGGCTTTTGCGGTTAGAGGGCCCTTAAATGGAATGAGTTGTTTAAAATCCCCAAACTCCAGCAAGAGCCTTATGCTATCACAATTCCTGCCTCTGATAGCCATAGCTATCTCAGTCCCTATTCATGTCATGAGCCTCTGTGTGTGGCCTCAAAGGCCCCATCAGTTCCCTTTGGCTTTTTGATTAATATTTTTTCTGTTCTGTTTTTATTTTTTGATTTTTGAAACCAAAGTTTAAAACTCAGAATTGAAACATTTACTTCATAAGCATTTTTAACTTAATATTTTATTTACTGCTCTTGCGATAACATTTTTAAAAAGATTGATTTATTTATTTGAGAGGCAGAGTTACAAAGAGAGAGAGATTTATTTGAGAGGCAGTGTTGAGAGAGAGAGAGAGAGAGAGAGAGAATCTCCCATCTGCTGGTTCACTCCCCCAAATGACTGCAATGGCTGGAGCTGGGCCTATCCTAAGCCAGGAGCCAGGAGCTTCTTCTGGGTCTTCTACATGGGTGCAAGGGCCCAAGCACTTGGGCCACTCTCCACTGCCTTCCCAGGCCATAGCAGAGAGCTGGGTCAGAAGTTCAGCAGCCAGGACTTGAACAAGTGCCCATATGGGATGCCAGCACTGCAGGCAGAGGCTTAACCCGCTATGCCATGGTGCTGGCCCGGAGATAACATGATTTTAATTTACATTATAGTCAAAGGCTTTAATGTTCCACCAAATAAATAAATAAAAAGTAAAAAAGACCACAATTAAGCAGGAAAATACACAAAGACTATAAATAATAACCAAATAAAAAGATGTTCAACTTAACTCATATGAATTTTTAAATAGTCACAAAGTTATTAAAACTACAGTAGTATATAATTCTTAACAATGTGTTTGACAAAGGTTTAATACAAAGTTTGATAAAATTGTATTTTCAACAAATTGATACAGGCATTTTTTTTCCTTTTTTTCTGTTTTTTTTTGACTTTTTGAAAACATTTTCACCTCCACATGAAAGGAGAACAGGTGGTGTTTGTTTCTGTGCTTGGCTTATTTCACTGAACATGATGTCCTCTAACTGCAACCATTTTGATGCAGAAGATAGAATCTCATCATTTTTATAGCTAAATCAGATTATAGTGTGCATAAATATCTCACGTTTTCTTTATCCTTTTGTATGATAATGGATACCTTTGTTCTTGGTTGGTTCCTTTTTGGCTGTTGTGAACAGTGCTGCTATAAACATGGTGGTACAGGTATCTCTTTGATACAATGTTTTCATGTCTTTTAGGGGTATTCCTAGTTAGGGGATTGCTGAATTACATGGCAAGTCTATTTCTAGTTTTTTTAAGATGTCCTTACTGTTTTTTCTACAGTGACTACACTAATTTACATTCATACCAACAGCATGTAAGAATTCCCTTCTCTACATCCTTGCCAGAATTTGTTATTCTCTCTCTCTTTTGAATAACAGCCATTTTGATGGTGATGATTGATATCTCATTGTGGTTTTGATTTGCATTTCCCTGACAGTGATATTGAGCATTTTTATTTATTTATTTATTTATTTATTTATTTTTGTATTTGTTGGCTATTCATGATTCTTCTTTTGAGAACTTTTTATTGAGGTCCTTTGACATTTCTTAACTGGATTTGTTATGTTTTGCTGTTGCTGAGTTTTTTGATTTGCCAATATATTCCGGATATTAAACTTCTTTTGAATTAGTAGCTTACAAATCTTTTTTTTCCCATTCTGTTGGCCGTGTCTTCACTCTATTGATTGTTTTCTTTGATGTACAGAAGCTGTTGAGTTTGATATAATTGTATTTGTCTAATTTTTTTTTATTGCCTGTGCTTTGGGAGTCTTATTTAAGAAGTCATCACCTACTCCAATGTCTTGAAGTGTTTCCACTGTATTTTCTTCTAGCAACATCATAGTCTCAGGTGTCATTGAGCATTAGGTACAAATGGCCCAAGATTAAAAGATAGACAAAACCAATATCTATATACTTCAGAGATTTTATGGTGGATTGGGAAGAAGGGAAAGAAAATCAGACACCAATATGTTTTAAAGAGTATTTAAATAGTAATAACAACTGTTTCCTTAAGATTTTTCTCTTATTTACTTCCTTTTCTTTTTACCATTAATATTTTTTCTTTCTATGGTCTATTGCTCTTTAAGTTAAGAATATTCAAATTTCTTTTATTAACCTTACAACAAAATCCCTGCGTTAACATCTCTGCACTGGCTTTGCCCTTCATATAAAGCTGTTTGCTGAAGTAAAGATTTCAGACAAACTCTTCATTTTGCCTGTCTCCATTTACTCAAGTTTCGCTGTCATGTTTTTCTGCCTTCTGTTTCTCTTCCCACAAAACTGTTCTTCATTACCTAATGCCAAATATAAAGTATGATTTCTTTTCTTCCATTATTAAAATTCTTTTTGTGGGCACATCTGAGCACTCCATATTATATTTATTTATGCCTCTGGTCATTCTTTTTGGCTCTCCTTTTCAGTCCCTTTACATTTTCTGATCATAAACTTACATCTCAATGTTTTTCAGGGTTCCATTCTTATGGGGTTATTTTTGTATTTTAATCTATATATTCTCCTTAAGTAAGTTATGAAGTCTATGTTTTGACAACTATTCAGTATGCACTGATGATTTCCAATGCTTTATTTTTGACTTTGAGCATTCAAATAAATTCAAGCTACTTCAATATTTCATGTCATACATATTTTAATAGTTACAGATTTCATAAACTTAACATATCAAAATTGCATATATAATCTGTGTCTCCACAACATACTGAAAATCTTTCAAAGTTTATTTGTTCTGTGAAATTTATCTAGTCATTTATGTCAGGACAGACAATGCAATTTTAGAATTTCTACTCTCTCTTCTTCTAGGTTAACTTGTCTAATCTTTGCCTATGCCATTACATTTGCTCCTTTAAAATGCCTATGGCATTATGTTTGCTCTATTTCCACATCCTCAGAGTCATTTGTTCATATACTGTTCACTTATAAATTCGACTACTAAAGCCAACAACTACTTATTCTTTTAGATGTTCTTTGCTTCTTTTGGTCTGTTAAGTTTGATTGTGAAGGAGGAAGAAGAAAAAGATTTAGTATATTTGTTCAAAAATGAACTTATGATCTTAATACCAAATAGGATTATGATGATTAAAATAGGAGAGGTTGGAACATTGTGAATATCCATGGAAAGGGGCTAGGAGAGGGTGAATATATAGGAGATCAACTGGAAAATTAATAAGCCAAATTTCATAAGAAGGTCAAGGTAGATAGAATCTAAATCAAAGGTATAGGGATTGCCCTTTGGAGGAAGGATATCTCTTTAGGTCTACTAGGCGTAAAGAGGAACACAAGGATGTGGATATCGATGAGCTTGAGTCTATTATGGGAAATGGAGGAATTTGTATCCAATGTTTCTGCTGTCACTGGAAAGCACTTAGAGAAGTTACCTGAAAAAGGAGGAGATTTAGCATTTGAATAAAATTTGAGAAATTCCTGAAATGGATAAAGTAATAAATAAATGAGAAAAAGTTATTTTAGTGAGTATATAAATTATTTGGGATTGGTGGTCATAAATTTTAATGAAAATATGTGCTGTTGAGCACAGCTTTCTATAGGAACATTGCATTACACCTGTGCAGGCTGGATTTAAATATGTTCAGGATGGGTTGTGCCAGAATTATAATCAATCAGAATGACAGGTACTTAGAGGGATGTCCTCTTTATATTTAATCAATGTTTACATTTATTTTCTTCTAGTTTATAATAGGTTTGGGAGTATATCATAAAATTTTCAGTCTCAAATTTACTTAGGTATATGATAATAGGTAAGGAAAAATGAATTTTTACCACTAACTTGGTCAGCAATACTTACTAAAAGGATTGTATGGTTAGAAACATTTTATGGCATATTTACTAATTCTGTATTACTCTGTAAACTAGCAAGTTTTTCAAACCTATGGGATCTATAATTACTCAAGTTAGTATCACATGGAAACATTTTTGTAGCTTTACAACATGTTTAAATGAGGTAACTTATTATTTTCCTTTGAAATCTTGTTTACTATAATATTAGTTTATTTTTTCTAAATTAACTTCAGAAATAATGTCCAAGACTTTTCCCATTCATATCAATATTCACTGAATTTGCTTTTAGTTGGGATTAGTCATATATATATATATACATATAAATTTTCAGAAGAAGAATGTGTTGGTGAATATTTTGACAGCTTTGTTTTCTATTGATCTAATTCCTGTGTCATATCATCCATAAACACAGGTGAAACTTCCTCATCTTAGGATTTATCTCATGAAATTACTCAGCAACAACACGGCCCTGGTCTCTGAATTCCTCCTCATCTGCTTCCCTAACTACCAGGGTTGGCAGCACTGGCTGTCCCTGCCCCTCAGCCTCCTCTTCTTTGTGGCCGTGGGGGCCAACGCCACCCTCCTGATCACCATCTGCCTGGAGGCTTCTCTGCATGAACCCTTGTACTACCTGCTCAGCCTGCTCTCCCTGCTGGACATCGTGCTCTGCCTCACCGTCATCCCCAAGGTCCTGGCCATCTTCTGGTTTGACCTCAGGTCCATCAGTTTTTCTGCCTGCTTCCTCCAGATGTTCATCATGAACAGTTTTCTCACCATGGAGTCCTGCACATTCATGGTCATGGCCTTTGACCGCTATGTGGCCATCTGCCACCCACTGCGGTACCCATCCATCATCACTAACCAATTTGTGGCCAAAGCTAGTGTCTTCATTGTGGCTCGAAATATTTTTCTGCTTTCACCTGTCCCCATTCTCTCTGCTCGGCTTCATTATTGTGGAAAAAATGTCATTGAGAACTGCATCTGTAGCAACCTGTCTGTGTCTAGGCTCTCCTGTGATAATTTCACACTTAACAGAATCTACCAATTTGTGACTGGTTGGACCTTGCTGGGCTCAGATTTCATTCTCATTTTCCTCTCCTATACCTTCATTCTAAGGGCTGTGTTTAGGTTCAAAGCTGAGGGGGCTGCAGTGAAGGCCTTGAGCACATGTGGCTCCCACTTCATCCTCATTATATTCTTCAGCACCATCCTGCTGGTGGTTGTATTGACAAATGTAGCCAGAAAGAGTGTCCCCATGGACATCCTCATCCTGCTCAATGTCCTTCACCACCTTATTCCTCCTGCCTTGAACCCTATTGTGTATGGATTTCATACCAAAGAGTTAAAACAGGGATTTCAGAAGTTGCTGAAGGGGAGGCTTTGAATACAGAGAGGGGTGGTCTATAGAGACGCTTGTTATTGCTATTTCCTCTATTTCAGGATCTGTTACTCCAGACAATACATTAATATTCAGGTACTGAGTATTTCATGCCTACTTTCTGCCCCTATAGTGTCAACAATTAATGTGGACCTCTTAGTACCTAACCAAAGTTCATTTGTCTAATTCATAATATAATATGCAACTTTCTATCTTAATATTTACAATTTTTAAATGTTTTGTCCTCACAAAATTGTGTAGAGTAGGATTATTTTTCCACTTTATACCTTAGACAAAATTTGGGAAGAAATACAACTATCTTCTCTAGTGAATAGTAGAGCATCAATTCCAGCACAGGTCTGACTCCCTAGCCTTTCCATTCTACAGCACTCCTTCCTCAAATGAGTGAAAGCCCTTTGCTCTGCTCTTTAGATTGTGATCTTTGGGTCATTATTATGAATCTTTTGCTGCCTTCAGATTGAGAAAGATCCAAGGGGAGGCACAGAACTCAGATATGTCATCACTACTTTTTCTGACCATCACAGCTCAAGCATCTTTCACAAAAGGAAAATAGTAATAAAAATAATAAAATAATAATAACAATTTTACCGGTATATGCTCAGCAGAAGCCTCACACATCTGTACATTTCTTATGGAAAGGCTAGGCTGCTGAGAACCCTCATGGAGGTAGAGATGGGAAATGAGAAGACCAGGGATGTGGGCAGTGGCAAAATTGACTGTGGTGGTATTGGAGATTGTTTTTTATATTGAAAGCTTCATCCCATGTGGTCTGGAATCTGGAACTCAAGAATTTCCAGTGAGAGGTGTATAAATATAGAAAATAGTTAAACTCTGGACATCATAATGTAATGAAACTAGGTGAGGAAATAAATTATGTAGTTGGTAGGCAGCAATGTCTTTATTTACATAGATAATAGGGAATTGAAGTTTCAGGGCCACCCAAGAAGCTTATCCAAAGGTCATATATTGACCTTTATTTGCAAAATTCCATAAAGTGAAAGCAAGGGCCACTCTATTTCTTGGTCCTTATCCACTGGTTCTGGTGAGTACATTCCATACCTTCTTAAATCAAAGACATTTTAAATAAAGAGAGTACTAGTACTTACTTTTTAAAAAATATTATCTTTTTTGTTCTATGAAATGTCTCTTGAATGGCAACTTGCAAATATTAGATGAATATATATATGTATATATAATATGGCATTAGAGTATAATGAGCATTTGGTGAATGGTGGGAATTGCTTTATTCCTTTGATTGCAAAGGGCATGAAAGATTAGAAAATATTTTATTTTTCTTGAAAGAATGGCCAGACCTGATCATGCATTTGATATGTGGAGTAGGTGAGAAGAGAGAGAAAGATAACTACATTTTCAAGTTTGCATGCAAATATTTCTGTGAGTTTAGTCAATGCCACTGTGGTATTCAAGGAATACTGGCATAAGCTTCTCTTCTTATTATTAAAGACAGAGATTGAGGTCCCCAGAATGACATATAATTGACTTGGGGTCCTGGTCATGTCATTGTCTTTATTTAACCCTGTGAGAAAAGATTAGTAGTTATATGGTCTTCCCTGAGACACTCATATTAATTTTGAGTTAATTGCACACACAAGTTAGTTTTGAGTTAGTTGCACATGTAAGAATGAAAGATTGGTAGATTTTTCACTTATAAGAAAATCTAAATGCTATCCTTATCCTGGAGGTCCTGAATTAGTCATATCTTACTTGATTTCCCATTTCTGGACATCACTGCTCTTCTCCCAGTCTTAAAATCTATTTTCTTCAACTTTCTTAGATTTGCTCTGGAGTCTCCAAATCATCCCGACCTCTGGTCCCTTAGAGGGGCATTCCCTTCTTTGTGTACATAGTTTTCCTAAGGCTGTTTTCAGCTGTTAAACAGAGCTCTCCCAAATGTGGAGAAGGATGAAGCTTGTGTAGCCACAAATCCAACCATGAGATCAGGATGGAGATAGAAGTTGGGATTCTATATACTCAAGACTGACTTCAGCTTGTCAAAATGGAGGAATCTGGAACACATCATGCTGAGTGCAGTAAGC